AAATCATACCAACATTTAGTAAAGGAAACTCCAGATAGAGGAAGAATAGATATAACAGATATTCAGTTTAACGTGTAGAAAAGTGTTTTTGGAGCAGACTGTGTCGAGGCTTATCAGAGTATAATCTATAAACGCTGAAATGCTCTAATGAGAGGTAACATTTCCTCCCTTCCTACAGCCCATCTCTAGCGATTCGAAGAACTCTAAACACGGCTAGTTATACAGAAACACACTTGATTTTCCCTCCCGTTTCTTTTCAAACGCCTAAGAAAGAAGATCACAGCAGTCCTTCGATTTACAATGTATTACATTTGTGGCCGCAAGCGCCGCCTGCATCCCCCGCCCGCCCCAGGGGCGCCCAGCCCGGCCGCTATCCCGCTCGGGGCCGCCACCTGCCCGCGCAGGGGGAACGCGGTACCGGCAGGGGACAGGGGCCAGCCTGGTCCCGGACAGGAGCGGACCCACGCCCGGTGGGGCCGGCTCGTACCGCGAGGCCGCTCCTCCGTGTACAGGTCGATGACCAGGTCGCCCACCGTGGTCTCCAGCAGCACCGCCATGGCCGCCGCCTGCCCCTTCCCCCGCGGCGGCCCGGCTGGCGCGCCCTCTGCCGGCGCGGAGGCCCCGCGGGCCGTTAGGTGCGGGAAGAGTTGTCCCGGGGCTCTGAGGGCGCAGGTGTCGGAAAACGTGGAATGTGTCGAAGTTATCTTAAGGCAAATGTAAGATGTAAGATCTTTGTGTACCTTCACACAGAATCACAGAATCACGGCATGCATTGGGTTGGAAAAGACCTCTGAGATCATCGAGTCCAACCTATGAACTAACACCACCTTGTCAACCAGACCATGGCACTGAGTGCCGCATCCAGTTTTTCCTTAAACACCTCCAGGGATGGTGATTCCACCACCTCCCTGTGGGCAATTCATTCCAGTGTCTAATCACCCTTTCTGTGAAGAAATTCTTCCCAATGTCCAACCGAAACCTCCCCTGGCGCAGCTTGAAGCCATGTCCTCTCATCCTGTCATTGGTTGCCTGGGAGAAGAGGCTGACCCCCACCTGGCTACAATCTCCTTTCAAGTGGTTGTAGAGAGTGATGAGGTCACCCCTGAGCAGCCTCTTCTCCAAGCTAAACAACCTCAGCTCCCTCAGCCTCTCCTCATAGGACTTGTGCACCAGATCCTTCACCTTTGTCGCCCTTCTCTGGACTCTCTCTTTCAAGCCTAATCAGCAAGAAAGGAGACCTAATCAGTGAAACAGACAGCAGCCAGCATCCCTTAGTCAAGGACATCCTGGAACCAACAAGCTTTCAGGATGCAGTAAATCAAGATATTGATGTCTCTCTAGATATACATTGCTAACTTGGCAAAAGACTCAGTCAAGGTCCATCTATCCTATAGCTGAATTATGCTCATTATAATACTAAAAAATCACAGCCATAGGTCAAAAAGACCCCTGCTCATGTGAAGACCCTTCCCTTGAGTATATGTAGAAGTTGGCTGGGATTACGCAGCTTGTATGGAAATTACGGTCAAAGGTTGGACTCGATGATCTTGAAGGTCTTTTCCAATCTTAACAATTCTAGGATTCCCCCCCGTCCGCCCCTAGGAGCAACTTCTTGTGGCAAAGTGCACGTTTTAAGGTGCATCATTCAACTTTTGAGTGTGGTGTGCACTGAGAGGTGTGTGTGCTTATTCTACATAGTCAAAACCAGTTTTACCTCACAGATATTAATTAGAGCAATTAACAGTCCCAATATTTACCTTGAGTACATGGTCACAATATGACCTATAGTACTGTGGGTGACTGAAAGGACAGACAAGTAAACAGAATTTATTCCCTTCCAATGTGTTTTTGGGCTTATGTGTTACAGCTGAGCTCAATCTAAGGGATCGTTGCCTTCAAAACAAGGGATCCCACTCCCCAGCACAGAGAGCTTCTGCTACAAGCTGCACTGTCTTCACCTCTTTCTAGATCATGCTCTGGTACTCATCACACAATGACTTGATCCAAGTCATTAATGTGTTGGGAAACTGGTTTTGTTTTTTGCTGATTTTGTTTTCTGCCAGATTAGTGACCTGAATTGATTCACTGTACAGGAAAAGGGAACCAGTGAAGGGAAAGGTGGGGAGCAGGAATGCACAGTACAGAGTACAGAGGTGCATGTAAGTTGGTAAGAGCAGGACCTCCTCTTCAAGTAGCAATAAAAGTAACAGCAGATCTAAAGCACCCTTATAAACAGCCAAGCAGGTAGTTTACTTTGCAGCCCTATACTGCTGCATAATGGTCCTGGAGATGTAGTGGGCTGGTCCTGGGGCCAAGACATGCACTGCAGGGTATTGTATTCTGCCTCCATATTGTGCTAGTTTTCAAAGCTGTTTGTGCTATCATCAATTGTTTTGCAGTGTTGTACTCTTTTTGTGAGCTTATTCCCAGTCTCCATGTCAATCCGGAATTGATTCAAGGCTGTTTTAAAGCCATCCATATGGCAGTTATCGACAGAAGAAAGCACTATAGCACACATTACATTTATTACTCTAAAACTTTAAGAGGGATGTAAACAGTATATTAGTCTCATGCAAGCCTGTGCTGCATGAAATTTAACTAACTTTCTACTTTAAGTACTCTTACTTTGCACTTCAGTAAGAAAGCATACCACTAACTAAGGCCAGGCTTTTATCACTCTTTTTAGTCACAAAAGAAATTAAATCCTAATTTCCTTATTCTTTATACTGGCTTTTGCCTCCTAATAACCCATGCCTATAATGAAGATTCAAACTAAAAATTACTTTTCAGGGTCACTTAAAAAAAGTAAAAAATGTGACTTTCCAACTTAAATATAAACCCAGTGAAACATAGCACACCCAGCAGCTCGAGCAGTAGTCAGTCTCAGCACCACATACTTTAAAATGTTACATATTCTAATAGTTACAAATGTCATGACATGTTCACCGGCAGACTGAAGGAGCCTAGAAGCCTTGGGGCTGAGCCAAAAGGAAAAGCCCTGTTATGCTCCCAGCCTGTCCCAGAACCAAGTACTTCCTGTATCACCCAAGGACTATTCACTTGTGAAGCTGATCATAAGTTATTTATTGCAAGAAATTTTACCATTTATGTTAAATGAAACTGTTATGACTTCTGTTTGCTGTGAGACTAATAAAAGCTTTGAAATTTGGGGAAAACGGAAGTATCTTGAAAGCATTTTTAGTACCTAGTTTTTCAAGTTTTAATTAAGTTCCAGGAGAATAAAAAGCAAATAAGAAAGAGAACTGAAGAAAAGGGGGTGCAAGAGATTGAGAGAGAAAGGAAAGAATGATGGAAACAGAAGGAAAGCATTGATAGGTAGTTTACCAGGAACCATAAAAATGAAGACAGTAAAAAATGAACAGGCATTCATCTACTATTCCATTTCAGTGAGATGCTAAATTCCTCAAGGTCAGCTGAGAGCCCAGCTGGAATGTTGCCAAATCTATAAATTCTGCAGACCAGTGATCCTTGCTTCCCTCTATTTTTATGTACCCTGATAACATTATTATGCCTCTGATACATTTTGTAAACATTTTAGTTAATTAATCTAATACACAAAACACTGTAATATTGTCCTGTTGGAAGATAACCCCACTCTGATTTATACAGAGTACAACTCATAGTTAGGAATTTCGGTAATTTAAACTTCCTCCCACCAGCACATGCAAATGACTGCAAGTACTGACAAGAGCTGGATTCTGGCACCCATCATATCCCTGAAATCACTCATGCACCCGTCATAAGATTCAGCAAAACGCTGTTTTGGGGAGCTGACTTACCTCCTAGTTTTCTGCCTCATGAGAACTGCACAGTGAACAGATCCTTTACATATTTCTTTCAGTTTACCAAACAGAGCAGATTTAAAAAAAAAAAAAGAAAAAAAAAGTCTGAAAAGACTTAAAAAAAAAAAAGAAAGAAAGGCTTAAGAGAAACTAGGTAAACCAGGTGATGGTGGTAAAGAGAGGTGGTGGAAATTAAGGCATCTGAGTTTTTATTCCTTCTTCTGTTACTGACTTTTGTGATTATTACAAAGGCAGTTAATCAGCTTTGTTTTTTCCAGTCTCTAAAACAGTACTAACTGCTGATAATAGAGGTGTTTAGGGATTAAATATTTGAGGTTTTCATGTAATTGTGTGAAATATACTTCACAATATATGACTCTCTAAAGCCTCATTTTCCAATACCTTGTACCTTGTGCCAGATGTTTATACCAGTGTCTCGTGAATGCAAACTGCATATAAAATACTAAGTTTCTGTGGGGTTTATGGTTTATATTAATTTTCAACCAATTGGGAGTCACGGAGCAATATAAAATCAGGCTACAGATTGCTTCCACATGACACCTAATTAATTGCTGTATTAAAACCTCCCTAGACAAGGTGTTAATATATTTACTACCCTTACCATTTGAAAGTTTTTTGCTAATAGGTAATAGCAATCTTTCTTATTGCAAATAAAGCACCTCTTATCTTCATATCCACTGAGGACTTGGAGATCCAGCTTGTTTCCTTTGTTTTTGCCTAAGACTTCAATGGCTTTGACTCCCACCACTTTCCCCCCCCCCCGTTTTCTCTTCTTTAGAATGACCTCTAGCTCTTTCAGACTTTATCTTGACCCTTATTCCTTTCCGATGACCCTTTTTGCTCCCTCCCGGAGTATGCAGCCCTGCTTCTGCTTTCAAGAAAACCCTCCTTGCAGTGCAGTGCTCCAGTGCTCAGCCCGGTCCCACTCCGGCCATACAACCCTCGCAGGTGGATAATTGCAGGCGCCCCGCGGGAGCCTCACGGCGCACGCCGGCCATTTCAGAAACAGCTGTAATTATTAACACTCTCTATAGTGCTAGCTCTCTTATTATGCAAAGTGCTTTCAAAGGCTGCTATCGCCTATTAACAGTGACGGGCTCTTGTAGGCGCAGGTCTGCGCCCACGCCTTACTCTGCAACGCCGAACTTGGGATCTCCCAGCGGCGGCGGTGCCGGGTCAAGGCCAGGGCAGGGGCAGGGACAGTGACAGTGGCAGGGGCAGGGCCGGGGCAGGACTGGCCCCCTCCTACCGCCTCCCCGGCTTCCTCCCGGCCCCGCCTGTTGATGTTTCACTTTGTTTTAATTCCCGGGTCGCAAGATGGAGGCGGCGCTGAGACGTCGGGAGCTGTTGCTGTTGCTGCTGCCGCTGCTGCTGCCGCCGCCGCTGGCCACCGCGCTGCTGGGCCCGGCCGCGCCGCTGGGACAGGTACCGCCGGGACCAGTCCCTGCCCCGTCCCTCTCCCTTTCCCTCTCCCTTCCCTTTTCCCTCTCCCTGCCCCCGCCCCCTCCCTACCCCTGTTCCTCTCCCTACCAGGGGTGAGCCAGACGCTGCCGCGGGGCGACAGAGTTCCCCCCTCTCCTTTTAATGGTTCATTTGTATAGGATTTGATGTGCCGAAACAAATAGCTGACAGGTCGAGGAGGGAGATAGTTAGTTATGTGCAATGTAGGTGTTTTTGTTGTATTTTCATGCTTGTCCGCCCACACCTTGGTGGTTCAGTGCTGTAGAAGTACGCAGTGCGTTAGGTCCACGTTTTTTCCTAGTGGTTTCTGTACTCTTGAACCAAGAAAAAGGCTTTGATGTATTGGTGTGTATATATCTATCTATATACATATATATTTGTACAGTGCTCTCTGTTTTTCTATTCCAATATCTATGCTGTATCTTGGTGACATTAGTTTTAAATTTATTGGCTTTTTAAAGGGTGGAAAGAGTATTTTGGGTATTACTTGGGAAATCTTTTCAGTGGGAATAAAAGGATGTGCCACAGAACCAGGTGAGCTTTGACTTCTAGAATTACAGAGGAGAACTGGGTACTTCTGCCTGTAGTTGAATCATGTCCAGATACATCCTCTAATTGTTGTAACTGTGAAACTCAAAAGTGTGAGATCGCAAAGAGGGAAGAGTTGTGTGGAGTTTGTAGTCACTTATTTAGCCAATGTGAATTTGCATTTATGTAAGTAAACTTATTATGGCTTTTTTCCCTCCAGAGTTATTTATTTGTTAATTTAATTTACGTAATTTAAGTTTCCAAGAAAGCCTGACGGAGGCCCTGCACTGGCACATCCTGTGTTGCAAAAGCAGAATTCCTGGCCTTACTTCCTGGCCTTGCTTCTCTGTATGAACTTTTGAAGAGACCTTTTTAGCTCTGATTTCAAAATAGGCATCTAGATCTTCAGACACCTATAAAAAGGGCATGGATGCTTGAAGTCACATGTGCAAAAGACAGCAGAGCGAGCTCAGTCCATGGCTACTTTGCTTATCCCTCAGAGAAAGGGAGTGCTAGCTTGAATTTGCCAAAAGACACATGAAGTGACAATGTAATATAGACCTATGCTCTTGCTTACTTCTGCCCAGAAACTTCTACACCAAAACTTCCAGTTTAGCAGCACTGAAGTTGTTTGTAACAGCTGGCAATTGTATAAGATATGGAGACGCCTTTGTGTGTGCTGTCTTTGGATCTGAAAGCCTAAGCGTGCCACAGGTGTGCCAGGGTGGTCCCACAGAAGGCAGCTTAGGGTCAGAAATAGAATAGGTATGTTTTAGGGTACTTGACTTAGTAACTGCACTGTAATGCTTTATGGGCACAGCTATGCTGTTTGTGAGGTTGAGTTTGTCCATTTGTGCAGTACTGCTCAGGTAGTCTTGTCAGCTCAGTTTTTGTTAGTTGGAAGTGTCTGCACTCTTAGCTTTATACTAGTGTGGTGGCATAAGTATATGCAGAAAATCTCTTAAAAGAGTCAAAAAGGGAACATATAAATTTCTACTTCAGTATTTTTTTCTTTTTAAGTCTTAAACTTAAAACAAAAAACCTTGCATTTTCTCCTGCACTATTTAGTTTTGTACATACAGGATCACTTTTGATGCGAAAGGAACAATGTGTCTTGAGAAAGTTTTGAGTAGAAGAGTTGATATTTTTTGAGCATGAGCTGGTTTATGGTGGCCTGGTAGGAACAGAAGTGCCTAGGCAGTGGGAATGCCATGCTGTGAGGTTGCCTTCAGAAGCCACAAGCTTAATGATAGTGGGTGATGGGGTCAGAATAACTGTAGTTTCCTCAGAATGGCTTGGGACAGCAGACTGGTTGGGAGAAGGCAGAATCAACATGTTCAGCTTTGCTTTGACTGGATACGACAACTGTGCTCTAAATTCTGTGAGCCCACTGGACTCACACTACTGACAGTAGTTCTTCCATATGGGATCAAAGTTTGCCTCTTTACTGATGGTGATGGGTTTACAGAAACCATAGTGGAAAGACTGAGGAAAAACTTTGAACCTTTGGAATAGTATTTTGTAAGGCTGAAATGCTTTTCTTCAGCTCTGGAATGTGAACGCCTCCATTGTTGTGCAATACTTGTAATTTCTTAAATAAGCTGTTTTGAAATCTGGACTTTTTTTAAAAAACATTAGCATGTCTGTTTTGATTTTTCTTTCTCCTCATGAACTGGATTACAGGTTGATTAATTTTAGACAAAGTTTGGGTGGTTTGTTTTGTTTTGTTTTTTTTCTTAAAAAAAAAAGGCAGGGAATGATGCAATAAGACAACTGACGTTCCCATTAAAGTAACATTTCTGGTGCAAGGTTTGGGCTATAGAGTATTTTTTTAATGTGTTGATAGGAACTGGCTAAAAGCATGGTATGCTAAATGATATTGCTATGTTATTTGCTTACTCTGTTTACTTCTTGATAATTTAGGCTAGCAGAGTTCTTTATAAATGGCATACTTGCCTACCAGACTTTTTTTTTTTTTAGTTCAGTTCAGTTGCCTGGAAAAAAATTTTCATATTATTTGTTGGCTGTAAGAAACGTCTCTGTGGATGGATAATTTCAGAACACAAGAAAATAATCTTCACTACATCAACCATTTGATGCAGGGAGTGTAGTGTATTTTTATCAAAGAAGAACTTTGTTAATAGTGATATGCTGAAATGTTTCTTGCATTCCTATGCCAGTTTCTCTGTTAAAAGCCTAGCACAAGTTCTGAACTTTATGCCTAAAAGAGCTGACATTATCTTCCTATGTGTATTTGATTAAATTAAAGCACAGTATGATGCAACCGTGTCTCAGTGTGTGAGAATGAGTATTCACCTGTAAAACTCCTGATAAAATATTCATAGTATGAGGGAGAATACAAAGGCGATTCATTCTAGTAACATATATAGGGCAAAGGAAAGGATAGGCAGTGTTATACTAAGAGTCATCATTAAGCAAGGAAGGAATATAAGTGTGCTTGTTCAGAAAAGCGACATAAAGCAATGGCAACATGTTAGATTTTTTTTTTATTTACAAAGATAGTTCAGCTTTAGTTAATTACAAAAATAATGGATTTAGTTATCTTGCTCTAAAGACTGTCAGGCAGCTTAATAATGCCAAACCCTAATGGAGAAGATTTGGTACTAAAATTCTGTAAAATGTGAAGGACTAATTATCGTCCTGCAAACTTGTCAAGTCTAACTTGTCATGTCAACTTATACCATGACTGTTTTTTAACTCAGTTATGCTTGATTGCAGTTAAGAATCATCCTAGCTCTGTTTTGAGTCTGATGAAAGAATTATGTGAAGCATGGATCATGGAGTGCTGGATTGCAAGTATATAGTTACACTATTTGGGGCCAGTTGTCCATATCAGTGCCAGGACTCAAATGGCATGAGTTTGTGTGGTAGTTTTGTTTGTCTGTTTGAACATTTTTTTTGCCATAATCTCTTCTTAAATTTAGAAACAAGTTATTAGTTTTGTCTGTTTCTTATCTGTTTGGCAAGATAAGAGTCCACCTTCATTGGACTTTGTATTTTCTGATCACAAACAGGATATCCTAATAATGCCTGTGTAATGGCTGCAAGGGGATTGTCTGCCTTTCAAGTCTCTGTACAGCTGGCCATCTTGCAAGGCATTGTGCCATCTGTTCCTAGTGCTGCCCACTCCACTTCCCACAGGCCTCCTAGTGCAGAAAAAGCCTTGTTGGGAGAGCCTCAATAGAGAACAGCTGTGCTTTAAGTGGGCTGGCCCATAGCAGCTGAATGGGGTTTAAGTGACTGATGCAGTTGTGTAGGGCTTAACAGTTACCCTGTACTGGGAGAAACTGCAAAGTGCAACCCATCGGGTACTCACTGCCTGTGGAAGAAGTTTTTCCATGAATCGTTAATCAGAGCTGTTTGAAGTTCATGCAGAATTAGACCCATCAGCTTTGTCATGTGCAACATTTTTCATAAAAGAGCAAGATAAGGTGAAATGTTCTCTGTACATTTCTGTGTGGTGTTTAATATGGAGAGTCTTTGAGAATTAATGAGTATTCCCTTTTAACTTATGCCAGATGCTTTGTATTCTTTGCTGCCATCTTTTCCCCATCCTGTTCTTCTGCTGCTACTGCAATTATACTGCCTCAGTTAACACTCTCGAGTTCTGTTGCAGCACATGCTGAAAGATTTAGAAAATTATCAGTACCTGCTTATTGCAGTTCACTGCAATATATGTCATCACACTCACTGCTGTTGCCTAGCTGTCCTAGAACATAATGACATACATTTGTGGTAGCAGTGCTGTCCTCTTTACAGGTTCTGTGGCTGTTACCACTGTAAATATTACTGTTGGAGCACTAAAACAGGGATGAGAAATTGTAGGAAAACTCAGGAGACACATTTACATCCTATGAGAGCATTAAGAGTGATAGGGCCATTTTTAGTGCGGATTGGAGTTTTGTGTGAAGGCATTTGCCAGTACAGGAAGGGATAAGGGGCTGTGAAGTATGGAACGGGTGTCAGTGTTAAGCTGAAAGCACAACCTGACTCCTGCGGACCTGAATTACTTCTTGGGGCTGTCCTTTGATTCTGACCCTGTCAAAGTGCAGCTTTCTCAAATATTCCAATGAATTCAGAACCTTTTAAGTTTCAGGACTGTCTGAAATTATGTGAATCTTCATGATATTGTTAATACTGAAAAATGTATTGTAAGTTATACAAAGAAGTTTTACACTCACAGTTCAGGCTTCTCCAGAACTTGATGGTGCCATATTATGGATTACTGCAGAGGACCTATGTCCTGCTCTCAATAACTTTGTTACTACAGGATTGGCTTGCTATGCTTCTGATACCCAAAATAAAGGATGTGGGGTTATTTACCTTTCTTAGTACTGAAGTACATAGTACAAGACGTATCTATAAAGCACTGTAAAACACCTTCTCCCCCCCTCTCCCCAGTAGAGAGTTTTATTATGGTAATATGAAAAAAAATTCTCTGTTGAAATGAAAGGATGTTTTGTAAGTCTGAGTCTTCTGCTCTAGGATTGGAAAGATGAGTACTGAATTATCACTGGAGCACTTTTTAGCAAGTATGGCTTGTCAGGCCAGGCATTTCATCATGAAAGGCTCATACAAGACCTATTGGCCTGCCAGGTCTGTTTCCTTCCCACTTTAGTAAAAGTAAGCATAAACAAGGTATGGCTCTTGAGGCTTGAGCGCTGCCGTGGATGAAAGTGGGTCAGCTGGGATGGTACACTGTTCTCCTAGGAGCTGCTTGCAATAGTCCCTTCCTTTCCCCCAGCTCTCCTGCCTGGCTTTTCATTGCACTTGGCATGTATCCTGTGGTTCTTGCCCTCCTGTAGATTTTGGTATGGGGTGTGTAGGGTCAGGAAGACTGGCTACAGCAGGACCTGTTGAGTTTTAGGTGCAGCACTGCAGGAGAGACTAGTGGGAAGCCATGGGAAGACAGCAGTGAGGAACTTGCCTTCAAGGAAGGGTTAAGTGAGCTGAAGGCTTCAGCATAAAATCAGGAAGACTGAGTTGAAGTACCGTTTTCCTTGGGAAGATATTATGAAGAGTAGTGAACAACCTGTTCATTAATTGCAGCAAGGAAGCTTCAGATTAGATACTGAAAAACTTTTAATATTAAAGGTAGCTGAGTAGTGGAGTAAAGCGTTGAGGAGAGTGTGAAATTTTTGAATGTCACTGGAGAGCTTTAAGAATACATCTGTTGGGAATGACATAGACGCAGTTGATTCTGACTCTGGAAAAGTTTGCTGTCCTGTGGTCTTTGAGATGTTACTTTATCAGGTCGAGAAGGTTTGGAGCAAGAGCAATTGAAACTAATTATTTTTTAGCACCAAAACTTTGAGATCTATTTGAAATATTTCTTAGCAAGATTGGCACCAAGTCTTGTGAGACTGCTTAGTGAAGAGGCAAAACAAGAACATATGACAACTCAGGAGAATGGATGTACAGAATATGGGAAAGTATCAGTAGAATTTGTTAGATCTGGATGTGAACAGACTGGTCTTGGGAATGGCAAGAATATGAGTTCTCTGTTGCATGTGAACACAAAATCGCAAGAGTAATGGTGTAGCTGCTGTAGCAGAGTATTAATAATTTCTTTAAGTTATTGAGGAGCTTTATGAACCTGTGCTATTCAAGAGATGCATCACCATCTGCTGAGATGATGGTGAGGGCAGACATCTCTCAAGGAGATGCCGCAAGGACAGGCAGACCATGCACAGAGCCAATGCAATAGTCTGTGGCCATCAGAACGATTAGCCTGACTCCCTCCTCCCAGCTGCATTCTTGGATCTCTTGTGCTTGTCTGGCTCTTCCTTGCTTGTTCAAAAGACTGAAAAATAGTCTGTCAAAAAAGGGAAAGTTCTTGTGCTGATTTAATGAGCTAAATTGGCTCACTGACTTGGCATAAATGAGAGGGAAGGATAATGTGCAGGAGAGATCTGCACTCTCTCTTTCAGTGGCAGAAGCAGCAAGTGGTTAAACTGTCTTATTTGTCTGCATGTTATGTTCTAATTTTTGTAAGTTTGACAGCATGGAAATGATCCACTGAACTATTTAATTTCTTAAACGTGATATGCTCTTCAAGTGCAAGTTGGATACTACAGGAACAGAATTGACAGCTGTTTTGCAGGAAATTAATCATTGTGTACATAGCTCACTTTGTACATTTAACAGTCAATTGTTGAGCATATCTATCTTGCTTCATGCCCTTCATTTTCAAATAAAGCATTTGATTCAAATAAAAAGTAGGAGGGGATTTTCCTATTTTTCCCTAGTCATTTCCTTTTTCTTATAATCTGTTAGTTCCTTCATAGATGTTGAAAAAAGATTGCAAAATACTTCCTGTACAAAAGCCCTCAGATTTCACTTGAGGCTTAAAAAATTAATTACTTTTAAAACTGCCTGGAAAATCAGTCTTTTGTGCCCTTTCAATTCCCAGAAAATAGAAGAACCTAGGAAGTAATGACACAGAGTTTTGGTAATCTGTTAAACAGTTTGCAGGTATAAAAGATGTAGAGCTGTGAATGCTAAGAACTAAAAGAGCTAAAAGTATGGTGGATTTTTATTCTATTATTAATATACGGAATTCTTAAAACATGACAAGAAAATAAGTGGTTCAAAGAAATTACAGATGACAGAATAGAATACATCCTATGATTATGCTATTAATCTAGTTTATATTTTCAGTTACAGAATTCTAGTTCTCTAAGGAATTTGGTAATTTTCATTTACTTTGAATAGCTGGGATTTAACTTTGGAAGAAAAGTCAATGTAAAAACCTGTTTCCTTGAAAGGGCATTAAGGAAGAGATTTCTTTTTGGTCTTGGTGGCCAGAGAGTTTTCCTGCTGATAGGACAAATGTGTCTGAAGCATCACTTAGGAGTCACTTCCAACCAAAAGCTTAACGGTGTTAGATTTTTAAGCTGTACTCTTCATAATGCCAGTTTTCTGCTGAATCAGATTTGGATGTTGTTTTTCAGTTTTTGATAGTCCTGGCTAACTGTCTATACTGTTGATCACCCATGGTTTTAAGGATTTTTTGACATTATACTTGCATTTCAGAAGCTCTCTTTTCATGAATTGAGACTGTATTATGCTAGGTACTGCATATTTTAAGTATTTTCTGGAAGAATATTTAGTGTTATATAAAAATCCCAAATGAAAAGCCTTTTTGTGTGTTTATTTATTTAAAATTTTGAGCAAGCTGAACTTTTTATTGAGACTTATTTTTAGCTGTTGGGTGTGAAACCATGACTGAAACACAGAGCTGAAGAAGATACTGAAGGTATGGAGAGGTTTTCCAGAGGAAAATGAAATGCAGTTAAAATCACTTAAGGCTCCCAAAAGGCAAATAGGGAGCTTAACCTTATTTTTGAAGAGTGACTCAGGAAAGCTCTGTGGCAGTCATTACTTTTGGCCATGTGCAAGAGATATTTGACTTTTGCATGCAGTGTTTTTGAGGGGCAGACCTGGGAGAGTTAAGGTCCTATCTGCAAAATGGCCCCTGAAATTACAAGAGGGAAATGAGAGGACAGAATGAGTGAGTCAATAAATTACAGCAACTGGGGTTTGAAAGAAAGAAGCAAATCCCCATTGGATGTGGGTTTGAGGAGTCCCGTGTGGCATAATTTGGGAATGATAACCAAAAAAAGAAACAGGATTACTGCTAAAACTGACACAAATGAATATTCTTTACAATAGGCTAGCATGCATTAAATTAGACTTTACTTTGAAGGCTGAGTGCTTAAAAAACATTTACAGAGAAACTGATTTTTACCTTTTATTATCTGTTATTTTTTAGCTGAGAGGCTTCTTTTCCATTATATCCTTGTGAAACAAGTGATTATTATTATTTTATCCTCATTAAAGAACGCCAAACTGTAGAGTGGGGGATGCAGATGTCATTCTTTCTCATCAATCCACTTTATTAAAAAGTGGTGGGGAAAAAAACAAACCAACCCTTACATGAAACAAGTAAGAATATTCCTCTTTCTTCTGTCTGCTGGATAGAAAGCCTGGGGATGTGCTTTGTGTATTGTAGGTAGTCATTCTGTCAGGATAATGCATGAGAGTTGCCCATGCTCTGCTGTGATTTATGTGCTTCCTCAAACTTATGTCTCTTCTCAATGTTTTTTTCCAGGAAATGATCCGAGTTGGCGTTACAATGTTGAAAGCCAATGGAGAACTTCACAAAGGACAGGTTTGTCTGGTTTTTCTCTTTATTCAGAGAATTAATATGTAGTGAAACAAAGTCTGCATGTGGATGCAAATATGTAGTTTTATCTGATGTAAGTCACTATAAAGTGTGTTCCTCTGAGTGCAGAATTGTAGGATAGGGCCAGGAACTGTATACTCATTCTGTCTGTCTTTCTTTCAGGTTCTTTTTAATATCACCTATATTAATGGACAAGTATATGTAAATGATTTTCCTATGAAAAGCGGGGTTGCCCACATAACATGTCAAACAGTAATATGTGAGTATTCCCTTTTCCTTTTTTTTTTTTATTTTCCTCCTTCCCCCTGGGTATTTGGCTTCCCAGTTATCTAGTAGTAACCAAGGCTTACAATGACTATGTGTTCTGTACTCTGCAAACCTGAGCATTCTAGAAACAAATAATTTCCCAAGGCAGGACAATACTGGTATTAAAATGGGCCTCAAGTCACATTTATGTGCTTATATGTAAATGGTCTAATCTGAAGTCCAGACTCTGCCTGTCTTTTAAAAAGAGTGTTTTGCAGGACAAACTAGACAATGTAAACAGTAGGATGAGACTCCACCCTGCTAATGGCTGTGTCCCTAGGTTGGTTGGCATAAATCCAGAAGGAGATTCAATAACAAAAGTATGAATTGTTGTTAGGAAGATCTTTTAATGATCTCACTTCTGTGTCTAATGAACAAACAAGTTTCTGCTGGATAGGATATTATAGCACAAATACTGCAGTTTTGCTAGTGTCCTGCAGTGGTTAATGACTTTGAATTATCTTGAAACTTCTATTTTTCCACTGATTCAATGCTACGCTTTTTGTGAAAGACCAGCGAGTATTGTGATTTTTTTGGAGATACGCAGGGTATACTGTATAATTAATTAAAAAAGGACCATTATGCTCATTTGATTTAAGCTTCTGTTGTATTCAGAATGATCTCCTGATCAGGTGCAGTCAATCTCTAGCATGATATCTGAGGTTATCATCATCAGACATTTACTTACAGAGTACTAATGCTTTTTCAAAGTGCTTCTCTGAGCCATGACCTTGTTGCTTGAACCCTTCTTTCCCAAGCATGATCAGTTATTAATTTGACACTAATTCTTTTCTGGAGAGGGAGAGCAGTAAACAATTTCTCTTTTTCTGGGATAATTATGTTCCTATTGGTTCTATTTTTTTCTATCCTAGGGTAGAAAGCTATGGCAAAATGTCATTTACCTGCAAAATAATTCACTCCAGAAAAAATAGATATGATTTTACTGACTGATTCTGAGAGCTCCTGAGCACTCTCCTGTAGTTCCTGTTAATTTCCCAAATCATATTTTTGTAGCTTGCAGTGACTACAGTTATGAACGTGAATCTGAAACAGTGCGGGAAATACTGATTCGACCTGGGAGCTAGGAACCTGGAATTCTCTGTCTCCGTGTTTGGGTCTGAGACCTCAGCATAGTACCTGGCTCTGTTACCTGTAATGTTTGTACTCTTTACTTACTAAATTCTTTACAACAGATTCAAGTAGTGTTTGTAAAATGCTAAAGAAATATAGAAATAGGTGGGAAATACTCCTGAATGTATATAAAACCCAAACTTGAGCTTAATAGTCATACTTTTGAATATTAGAGACCAAGTATTCTGAATAGCATTGTTTTGACATCATTGTCAGATCATACCTGACACCTATATCCCCACTTGAAGCTCCCATAAATGTCAATTTTGGAAACATATCTGTCATTCCTGTTGAATGTGGTGGTTGAATGGCCTGACACATGAAGGACTGGGACCACAGGGAGTTTCAGCTACTTGAAATCTTAGAGGTTTTGGTCCTTCAATGTGTGCTTGCTGCTCTAAGACAGAAAACATTCAGCAACTAGGTTCGTGCTCTGGCTCATAACTATAGGGAACCCTTCTCTCCTTCTGCCACTTACTTTTGCAACAAAAGATATTGCTAAATAATGCCAAAAAGTATTTTCTATATTTAAAATAGGCAAAATAACCTTTATGAGGACAGGGATTGTAGCATAGAAGTAATGAACACACTGAGTTGTTACTGTAAGACTAGTCCAGCCTTACCCCATGTTACCTGACAGGCTCAGCACAGTAAGTGACATACACACACAGCACCAGTGGCTTAGCAATAATCTCAGTTCGTGTACCTTGCTGTCTGCATGTTGGGAAGATCTGCCACGTCCACTCTTCCACTTCACCAGCACTTCAGTTTTAGCGTGGCCTCACCTGTAGTAGAGGTGTGGTACTTGGGAGAAGGATACAAAGTCTATGCAGAAACAACTAGAGCAGGAAGGCAGTTCTGTGGGTACTTGTGGAATATTAGGCTGTTGAAATAGCTGAAAGCTTTTGGGCAAGAAGAGTTTGAGGGTCACCAGTAACAGAGAGGGGGACAGACAAATATGTATGAGGGAACTGTCACTCATCTTGAGTAGTAGATACAGTGTGCCTGGAAAAGAGCATGTTAGTTTCTGTATTAAGAGGAAGGGGAATGTTATGCAAACCAAGATGTTTACACAGGTGGCTGGCTGGGCTGTGGCATTACTCTTATGAGTAATAGAAATAGAACGCAGCAATAGCCAAGCCAAAGAGCACAGCTTAACATGCTTCAATGCAAACCTCAAAGGCAGGGATGCGACATTGTTTGCAAGCTCCCTCAGTCCAGGGGATCATACAGCTCTGCTGTGTTATATTATAAAACTTGCTCCGTGTTCGATTTGGTGATATACTGGTAAAAAAAATCATGGCATCCGTTTTACCTGTTGCCCAGATTACTACTGCTTATAATAGTTGTTATTGGAAGTGTTAAGGACATCAGCATAGTACAGACATCTGTACCGCTGTTCTGGCATCTCTGGTGTGATGCTAGTGCTGCTGTGACTTTTCCATTCAGGTGCTGCATGTGCATCTCTGTCACAGTTGCAACTGTTTTCCCTATGGCTGTGTACTGCTTTCTGGTTGGGGTGGTTTCTCTTTGAAAGCTGTGATATTGTGTGTTAACAGTGGAGAACGGAAACTTGGATAACTTAGCAGATCAGCAGCACCTGGGAACCGTCAGTGTTCGCATCATGGTTCACGAGTGGCCTTTGGCATCCAGTTCTGATTTGCAGCTGATTGTCGTTCAGGAGGAAGTGACAGAAATTGATGGAAAACAGGTAAAACAAACCCCTGCTGCAATATTCAGTTTGTTTTTAACTTAGGAGAGGCAAGTAGTTACCAAGGATTGAAAGATTTACATGTATCTGGCTGGTGATTAGAGCACGAAGTATATAATTAATGTTAGATAGCACAGTATTGAAGGAGATAATAGCAAAGTTGGCAGTATAATAGTAGGTGTGTTTTGTGAGGAGACTTCAAGTTGCAATGCTTCTATTCATATTCTAATGATTATCATTAAGTGTATCACAACACATGCACCTATGCAAGCAAAGTCAGACTCACAAGCAAGACTTGATTTATAATATAATGTACAAAACAAACAAAAGGGGCATGGGCTTTTTTTGAGTCCTGAGGGTTTCCCCATCGTTATTCCAAGCTAACAAAGGGTTTCAAGCACATACCATGGCAAACAGCTTGCAGCAGCAAACTCTTATGGCAGATGGGCTTGTGAAAGCCTGAGAATTTAACCTTAGAATATTTTGCATGTAAGATAAAATCCATGATCATTGTCAAGATTCAAATTGAGATGAACAAACACCTCCCTGCCCAATTCTAACTGTATTTGTACAAATACCAGTGAATGTGAGGGGTTACCATTCCAGCTGAGATTGAAATGTGCAGAACTCTCAAAATTGCCTGTAAGGTATAGTTAATTTACTAACCAAAGAGGATCTGTTGAAAAGATCAGCTGTTGCTGAAGCCAGCAACAGCATCATATTTTTCTTTCTGTACATGTCTGCATCCTACATGTGGTCAAGTTTTTTTGAAGCTGGCTTATGTTCTGCTGCCTTTTTCCTTTTTTTTAAAGGATAATACCATTGATCCTTAATTAATTGCATGCTCAGGATGTAGTATTTTTACAGCAATCTATATCATGTCAAAATTTTAATCTTTTGATGAAAAGCCCCACTGAGAGGTCTGTAGCTTTTCTAATGAGGTGCTTATCTCACTGGTAGGAGCCTAATATATCCTGGTTGATTCAGTTGTTACACAATAGTGGTGTTGTATTTCAGATCTCAAACTAGACATCACAATGCATTTCAGATTTTCATAGAGACCTGGTAAAAACAACCACAAAGCTAATGCTGTTTCCTTAATTGTTCCTTTAAGTCAAAAGCAGTCTCACATGAGCACGGTAGAGGGGCAGAATCCCCTCCCTTGCCCTGCTGGCCACGCTGCTCAGGATACTGTTGGCCTTCTGGGCTGCAAGCGCACATTGCTGGGTCATATGGAGCTTTTCATCCACAAACACCAAGTCCTTCACTTGTGCTTGGGGTTGCCCCGACCCAAGTGCAGGACCTTGCACTTGGCCTTGTTGAACTTCATGAGGTTTACGCAGGCCCCTCTCTCAAGCCTGTGCAGGTCTGCCTGGATGCCATCCCTTTCCTCTAGTATGTCATGCACCACACAGCTTGGTGTCATCAGCAAACTTGCTGAGGCTGCACTCAATCTCACTGTCTGTGTCACTGACAAAGATGTTAAACGGCACCAGTCCCAATACTGACCTTTGAGGACAACACCTGTCACTGGTCTGCATTTGGACATTGAGCCATTGACCGCAACTCATTGAGTGTGGCCATACAGCCAATTCCTTATCCAGTGAGTGGTCCATCTGTCAAATCCATGTCTTTTAGTTTAGAGATGAGGCTGTCAAGCAGGACACTGTCGAATGCTGTGGTACTTTGCCTTCAGTTGTTGAAAAAAAGAAACATTACTGAAAAAGCAGAAATGTCAGTCTTGTCTCAGCAACACTTTCAATGTTCACAAGTGCTTTCACTATGTACTTGAGTTTTCCATGTCCTAAAATGCCTCCCTGAGAGAGGATAGTAATGAACTATACAAAACTTAGTTACAAGCCCATGGAGTGACTACCACATGCTTTTGCAAGGAGAGAGAGACAGTCTGTTCAGGATATTTTCTAGGGTGACATAGTCTACAGAAGTGTGGTATGTAAAAACAAAGAATACTAATTCATGTTATAATAGCCCTGTGTCTACATCTTAATGGCTTGGAGTTTTCTGTGATGTATTGGTGTTCTCTTCTAGCCAGCTTCAGTCTTACTTTAAAATCAGTAATATCAACGTGTTTGCATCTCTTGCAGGTTCAGCAAGAAGAAGTAACAGAAATAGATATTTTAGTAAAGGACCTGAGAGTACTTAGACATTCAAACTACACTGTCCCTTTGAAAGAGAGCATGCTGTATTCCATCCCAAGGGGCAACGACATGTTATTTACACTGCCCAACCTCTCAGGAAAAGGTATCTCTCTCAACTGCTACATAATATTTTCATCTGTAGCTGATGCATTGCTTTACAGGGGTAAAAGAGCATCATTATTCCCATGTTTTACATAGTGAAACAGTTTCTTCATTAACAGGAAAGCGTTTTATGTGGTTTGGTTTTTATTTTTTTTAAACACCTAAATTCAAGTCTTCTACATTTTAGGTATTTTGTTTGTTTGTTTTCAAATCTGTTCTCCTTTGAAGCACTTGATACTTGGCAGTCTGCAATCCAGACATCTGACAGGAATAAATTTTTCTCTCAGATCTATGATGGAAGTTTCTCTAAAGCTCCCCCTTCTTCCTGAGAATGAAAGAGAAAACTGTAGAGGAAATACCTGTCTGGGTCATTTCCAAACCAGGGAACAGTTTTATGTTATTAAACTTGAATATCTTAAATGCCAGAGAAGTTATTTGATGCCTTAATCTTACTTCAGTTTTGTTTAATCAACAACTCTCAAGGATTTAATCAGAGATGAATATTTTGATCTAGTTCATCGCTTTTTAATCTGACAACAGCTGAAATTTACAGCTAAGGGCATAGCTAAAGGCAGCACTGTAACACTGCTTCTGCTTATCAAGTTCACTACTCAAGTTAAAAAAAAAAAGGTAGTCAGTCTTCTGTATTCTTGGTGTGAATGTGTGAGTACTATACTATAAGTATAGAAATACACCATGTCTTTGTTTTCCTGAAGAGTGAGTCAAATAAAAAGAAAGCTCTCCACTAAATCTAGCTTTTCTTCTTCAGATATTCAAGATCCACTGCAAACTACCAGTCAGTACCTCATCCGGCAAGTAGAGACTACAGTAGATGAAGAGACATTACCTGGCAAGTTACCAGAGACCCCTCTTAGGGTAGAACCTCCATCTTCTTACAAGGTACTTTTGTTGTTTGTCCACTTTTTAATTATTAGTATATACACCTTTAAAGAGAGCAAACTACTAAGACCAATGGACCTCTAGGAACCTTAACAAAAAAAAAACCAACCCCCCCAAAACTATCAAAATAACCAACCAACAAAAAAACCCCCTCTTCCTAAATTACCTTTTAGCAGCAACAAGCTGTTGGAATTTTTTACTCCAGTAGGAATCAAATGGGCTTTTAAATCCTTCAGTGTTCTGACCTCACAGTTACTTCATGATAGTCAGTTGTGATATTTCCATTATACCAAGCTAAGCATTTATGATAATTTCAAATTTTGCTTAGCTTTAAATTACATCATTTTTTTCCTGACTCTGTGAAAGTGCTTATCCCTCTGAGAGATGGACCATTGGTCTCAGCTGCTGTAAGAAAGACAGTAACAGCCTTAGAAGTTTGAGTTTCAGCTTAGGTAAGGATGGGCTTGATGGCCTCCTCTGTGGCCAAAACAAACACAGTTATAACCTGCTGCTGAGACAGGAGTGCCAAAATAGTAGGCTGAAAGTTACAGATAGGCTAGAGAAGATGCTACCCCTCTTCTGGGCTGGCAGTAACCCTTTCACTGCTGTACACTGCCATGGTATCATAGCTGTCTATGGCCAAACAGCTGTCCCTTCGTCTTCTCTGTTCAAGTGTCTTTTATTTTCCAAAGTGGCCTCTCAGAGAACTCTGCTACGATGAGCAGAGAACTAAACCTTCACCTGTTCCAAACTTTGAAGAAGATCCAAGTCACCAGTCAATTCCATGCTGCTTTTATCTATTTTAAGGAAACATAAATTAAGAAAAACTATCACCGTGTAACTACCTGTATCACCAGTAGCTACAAAACCAGCACATGCTTTGTTTTGCAGCCTGTCTTTTTACCTCTTTGACTGCAGGTGATGTGCCAGTGGGTGGAAGACTTGAGAAAAGGATTGTGCAGATTCTGGTTCCGATCTTTACCCATCTTGTTTAGTTTCATGGAAGTTGTTGTAGTTGGAATTGTTGGAGCAGCTCTTATTATCAAAGTCTTAAAGGTGATTCTCCCTTCCTGTGAAAACAGGTAAGTCATTTTTGCATTTTTTTTTTTTTTGGCTGTGATGAAGGCAAAACATTAACAAAAAAAATTTGTCAAGAAGCAGCCCCATTCTGTAGGAAGATGGTAGCAACAATTCAGTGAAAAAGCTACTGGTAACTTTCCTTTCCAGGTGAACTTTTGACATATAAGCATTTCAGAGAAACATGGGAAAGTATTTCATTGGAAATGTCTTTAGCTGAGCTGTCATACTGCCAAACTTTTATCAACTCTTCTAAGGACTACATTGCGAGACACTTTTAACATAGCTCCAAGAGAGAAGGGTAGAAGCTAGAGCTAAATAATTCCAACATCTCTTTAGCTTTTCATACTCCTACTATGTTGGAGTTGTCGCAGTAGTTCTGAAAGGCCTTGAAGCTGGCTTTGCAAATTTGCGTGGGAATTCTCCAAGGAGGACCTACCTCTGTAGGCAGCTTCCAAGCCATAGTGATTGGTGCTGGCATTGGTGGCAAAAGGTCATAAATAAAATAAAGCTAGTGGCCTGGCTTTATTCACTCAGTGTGTTACCAGCTACACTAAGATTTTTCAGAAGAGCAAGTGCTCAGAACAAGGGGTGGAAAGATGAATTAGTAGCTGCAGGTAAGAAATCAGTGTCTATTTAGTGCTGGAATGGGCAAGCATGTGCATTTTAAAGCTACCTAGGTCAGTTCTGGAAGACCTATCCCTTGGAACCATATGTTCTTTAAGAAGTGACTGACAGCATAGTGTGCTTCATTAGCCACAACAAGCACAGCTGATGCCTTCCGATGCAGCTGATCAGCTGTGCTTCTGAACGGCCCTGGGTGCAGTTAATTTATGTATCCACTCAAGAATATGAGTGGTGTTAGTCCTTCTGACAAAGCTAGAAAAATGGGTGGCTGGAAGATCAGGAAGGTTGGAAACTGCACTGACAAAAGAGACCATGCTTTTCCCTGACACTTCACACAGTGTGCTGTCAGATGGGAATGCTTCAGTTGTTAGAGCTGAAAAACTGAAGAAACACTTTGTACTTCCCAGAGCAGTAAGTAGCTTAAGACTTCCATGTGTGAAACTGAACTAAGTAGAACTAGGAAGAAAAATTTAATCCCAGCAAACTGTTCAGCAAAGTGTTTCATGGCCTGTCCATGGCAGAGGAGAGTACAGAGCAGAGGAACCAGCCTGGAGTAATTTCTCTTCCAACTGGAGAACATGGGGCTTTTGCATGGCTTGTCAGAACATTTAAAGGAATTGTGCCACTCCCTCCCCTTAAAAAAACAAAACCAAACCAACAACAAAAAGAAAAACAAACAAAAAAAGCCTCACAAAAACCAAAACCCCACAACCTCAAAACCACACAGTTGTTTTCTTGCTACTTATGCAATGTTCCCATAAAAAATGGTAAAGGTTTAAATCATGATTGCAAGCCAGTAAGAATGAGCAGAAGATCTCATGTGGTGACTGACAGAGTTGCAGATGTCAGGACCTTGTCCCAAGTCTTTAATGCCATTCTATGGTACACTAATAAAACTTGAGTCTCTACCTAGTCTTGGAGAATTAAATGTAGCTCCTGACAGCAGACAGTTTTAGGCTACTATGAAACTAAGCATATAGAGTCTACACTGCTGACACTTCAGATGTAGAAACTGGGTGAAGGGAGCCCTCAGAAACCACAGCTAGTACATTTTGGAACCAGTTTTCATTCTAGCTTCATAAAAGAGGTATTATGAGGGTAATACTTGATGCACTGATTTAAACTTAAGTTTGGGGAGTTAAAGAGTAAATCTAATTTTTGGAACACAGAATTGTTTTGTATATTGTTTTCTAATGCCAGGTAATCTTACCTTTCAGAGGCATCCTTCTCCTGGATCAAGTCAGCTTTGTACCTGTGACTACCATCAGCCTGCCTTCAGATCTTCCAGAGAGGAAAAATAATTTAGATGAGAAAGCATGTACTTAATACTGTATTTACTTTGGAGTTACTGGTTTTTAAAAACACACTTTTAGTTGACCTGAAATTTGGCACTTGATCTTAATACTTGGTTTGTTTCCTACTAAGAAAACTAAGTCAGTTGATTAATTGATAAAAGGGCCACTCAGGCCGAGGCCCAAAGCTGACTTCCATGTGCCTCTTCATAAACAAGCAGCCTTTTCAGAAGCTTCAAAATAGAGCAGCTTTCCACCCTGAGGGCTACCATTGGTTTTAACTTCTGTGAAGTCACTTTTCCACACCTTGGACAGGATGCTTGCTGCCTTCATGCCCATAAACCAGGTCAGTTGTCCTGACTAGCAAGATGATGAAATTCAGGGTGTCCTTAAGTCTGCAGAAAACATTCTTCAGAAAAGGACTAGGGAGTATTGCAAACATCAGCTGTGCCAAAAGCCTAAGCAAAGCTGCCCAACCTGGCTCAGGTCTCATAGGGTTGAGTGTGCCTTGCAAGGAAGATACCACTACCCAACATTTGTGTTACTCAAGAAATTTGACATTTTATATATGCAAAACAAAAATTAAAAAAGCAGATTTATATTTCAAGCACTTTACATTTTTATGGTCCCTTCCACTCATAAAAATTGTTAGCAGTTGTAATTGTAGTATGCTTTTTGTATCTGTGACAGCAATACTATGTGAAGTCCCAAAAGAAAAATAAAAATTCTACGGAATTGTACAGAAATGCTGGCTTACTATTGCTAAGTAGGCCCATTCTGCCCATGCCAGTTTCTACTGTTAACATTTTTCAAATAAACTTTTAAATTGTTTATTAAACTGTGTTCACTTTTGCATCTATAGTTATAAAGAACAGCAGTTTGCCAAACATGTTAGCTACAGGGTATGTAGTATGGCCAGCCTTTGCGAACGAAGATTTGGGAAAGGTCTTTTACCTTTCAAGCCTGTGCAATGGATTTTTTAGGTGAGACACAGCGTGTGCTGAACTGAGCCCACCCTTTAATCCTAAGGTTCATCTACTGGGGTCAAGCGAGCTTGGACAATGGCAGTGAGGTCCTCAGGACGTAGGTTTGTTTAGAGTGACCTTCTCATAGATGGATGCCCTTACAGGGCTTGACGAGCTCCATCTGCCCGGGGGAATTCCCTGACCGGGGATCGAACCCGGGCCTCGGCGGTGAGAGTGCCGCATCCTAACCACTGGACCACCAGGGGGCCTCGCTACAGGGTACTATTTGTTTTTTAGCTTTTCACTGTTCTTACTTACAGAAATTGTTTGTCAGAAGAATGACTAGGAAAAAAACTTCAGAGCCGTAACTACCTGGCACTAGACTGAGCATAGTTATCATCTGAGTGATCAGAATTACCCATGTACAGCTGATTTCCCCCACACACACACCCCCTAAGGAAACATTATCACAAATTTAATGAGATCCAAGTTACTCAGATGCTGGTCCATACAGCTGGTCTCTGACAGGAACAACTCACATTGTCTCCCTCAATTGACAGCACTGCAGTGATAGAAGGAACATTTCTAACACTGACTTGCCTTGCAAAAAACTAAACCAAGACTCACCACCCAGCAGTGCAGTGTGGTACATGTCAGCCCAAGGTAACAGGAACACTGCTCAAACTTCCCCTCACTTTTTATTTTTTTTTCTAGCACCCTTAGGGTGGCAAAGGGGTTGTCATCCGTGGCTGAACAGGAAACTGCTAAGATTAACACAGAAATGGTGACTGCACAGACAAGAGCAGCTCTTCAAACAGTTGTAGACAGACTTCTCTGCATGTGGAAATTCATGTTCTTTACACTTCATGAACATAGCTCTGGCTCCATTAGCATGGTTCAAGTAGAAGTGATGTATAAGGCTGAAGTTAGCTTCTTCAGGGAAAAAAAAAGTAGGATGGGAAGAAACACAATAGTTCTTCCTTAGTGCACAAGCACAGTATGAATTACACTGCAGATGGAAATCTGACAGATGTTTGCATGTGCTCTTTGCATCCCTCCTTATGAAACTGTAAACCAAGCACCTGCACAGAAACAAGGAGATTTATCTCTTCTAAACAGCTGCAACGAATGAGTGGTTAAGCCTGAAAAAAAAGTGTTGGTACTGCTTCACAACTTGGCTGATTTCCACGAGCTCAGTAATCCTCTTCTGTATGGTGTTTACAAAGCATGAGGAAAGAAGTACTACCACCAGGTAATGAAATTCTAAAGATAGTGCAAATCTTGAACACAGTAATTGCCAGACTACATAACAGCTTTAGGGAGCTGGAGTTACTGAGTCTTAAATAAAGTTAAAGCACTTGTGTTTTTGCTTTAGCATGCACATGGATTTCCCAAATCATAAGTCTTGCACCTTTCAGAGGAGTGCTACTTTGAGCTGGGACTAATCTGAACTGTTTTGTAAATTGATTTAAAAACCACCTTATGCAATTAATGCAGTTGGGAAAGGGCAACTGTCCTGCATGCCAGTCACGGTAGGTCTCATTTTCCCAGGACATGAACTGATAAGGATACATGTGCCGGCTAGGGAAAAGAAGGTGGGGGGACAGGGTACTGGAAAAAAACCCAAAAAACTCTCAACTATCCAAAAAAATCCTTTGTAGGATGGCAGTAGGTTTTTAGGAACAGCAACATCTCAACCTCCTCACAAACTGTTCTCTCACTGCAACCATGTATCACCATATTGTGTGCTCCAAAACAAAATGAACCTGTGAGCTACAAATTCAGCCTCTACCACATATTACAGAGGTGTTCATTTTGTTCATTCAGAGTGAACTGGGCTGGTTGAGAACTAAACTATTGCTTTTCAAGTGAGGTTTACTGTAGGAGTTCTCAAAATATGTCACACTTTCAGTCTAAGTGGCCCCTTACTGGACTGCTTCCAAGGATCAAAGCTTGCCTCCTTTCCCTTCTTACCTGGGGGACAGATTGAGTATTTTGGTTTGCCTGCAATGAATTATGAGAAGAAATCTCCTCCTGCAACACAGTTGACAGGTCCACTCTCATCCTAACATAAAAACACAAAAATAAATATTAAGAGAACCCACTTCTTTAAAATACCACGTAATTATAATTTTCTTAACTCTGACACACAGGGCTATCCACTTGAAATGAAAGAAGTAAATCAGTTTTCCACTTTGGGAATGGAAGTATAAATGCACACACTTGTGTACTCGCCTGAACTTCTTTCCTTCATTTCTGCCAGGTTCCCTCAGGGATGCAGGGGCTCTCACAAGATCTCAATGTTTTATTAGAGCGTCTCATCGCTGACACTGCTGGAAGTCCCTTTTCAGTGTGTCCAGCTGTCACTTACAACATAGTGATGAATTTTAAGTACACAGAAGATGTTCATAATAACGGCATTTACACAACTCTATCTTTGAGATGCACTTGTCTCCTACTCAGACTGCAACTTTTCGTTACCATTTGTCCTTCCCATCTACCTCGCAGCATCTAAAGAGACACATGAGCAGGAATTCCACAGCCAGTTTTGTATAGCATGTATCTACCATCTGAAACAAGTCTGGACCTATTTGATTCATGAAAAACATAAAAGTTTATCTGTAAGCAGAACTACAGCTGCCTGCTATAGGAGGAGCTAGCAGGAAGAAGTGTTTCCAAAGTAGTAGCAGGTGGATAGAAATTATAGCTGTTTTAGTTACAATTACCATTGTAGAGAAAAATCTAAAATTATTACCTAGATGGTCACTGTAGAACCATTCTCAGAGAACTGCTTCTACATTCTACTCACCAAGCAATGAAAAAAGAGCTTTTAGATTTTCTGTCAATTGTTAAGTCAGGGTTATCAATTGAGCACAAATGTAACACGTGCTGCCTTATCAGAACTGCCTTACCAGAATAAACGTGTAAGCCAGGACCCAACCTACCAATCTAGAGTTCTGACCCTTACAGTACCATACAGTCAAAGAAGAAAAACATATTTCAGAATTAATGTCAGAAAGATTTTGTTTTCTCTTAGACTTACAAGGAGACTTCACATGTGACTCAGCGTCACTACTGGCCACACGGAGTTAGTTTACACTGGCTGGATGTATTTTAATATCATTTAACAGACACCGTAAACCCACAATGATCCTACCCCTTGCTTAAACTTCAGTTGACTCTATTAAACTGTTACAGCACAAGGGCTGCTGTTCCACATCTCAACCTTTGCACAGGTTCCTTATTAATACCTTAGAAACAGTTTGAGGGTAGAATTCTCCAAGATCAGATAGGAAAACTGTCTTTGTAACCAATTCGTTCTTCCTGTTTTCTAGTTCTCAGCATCCCTTACTCATTTAGCAGGGCTAGTTTGTTTTGGTTTTTTTTTTTTTGGTGTTACAGCAATTTTTTAAGAGTAAATACTCTGATATGAGAGTTCTAGTATTAAATTTAAGTAATCTTGAAAATCAAAGCAGATACCATCAGCATTTGAGAAAAATTGGTGACTTTTGAGCTAGTTAAAAGAGAGTTAGACAAAATTTGCATTTAAAAAAATTTATTGAGACATCTATTGCTCTTAAATTACAAAAGTTAAAAAGAGCACGCAGTGCACTGAAACACCACTGATTACATCTAAAGCTGTTTTAAGACATAAGGTGGCTTCTTCAAGAGAAGACAACTCAACATGATCCAAATTCAGCTATCCATTTCTCATATTTCTCAATGTCCGCAGCAGATACCGATTTAGAAACTTTCTTCAAAGCTATTTCAAAGTCTTCCATAGTTGTTGGCATGTGCATTTCATCTCGGGGAAGATTTCTTATTTCTTCTGGTGTCAAGCCTTCAATACGCCTTCTCATAGCCATCAATGATGCATCTCTATTCAGGAAGGTAAGAAATAAAAAGAAATAAATGTTTACTCAATGCAGGACAGTGAGTTCAGTTGTTTGAAAGGCTCAACATACCATTCCAGTTAAGCTGTTGCATTAAAAAAAAAAACAGCAAAGAACTATAAATTTTTATATCAAGATCTCCAAATGCTATCCACATTTTCAGACATGGATTTATGCTCACTGGATGTCTGAATAGCTAGTACTCACAGGCTAGGCAAAAGAGGTGAAGATTAACCAGTTTATCTAATGCCTATGATGTAGCCACTGTTTATTGTATTTTTAAACAGGAACAAGGCAAAAGTAACAATTTCACTCCTCCTAGATATAGCAGGAGTAGCTGAAGGGTTTTGAATGTTTCCTGGTTTGAACAGGAATCCCGCTTCAAAGACAGTCAACAGTATCTACATCCAACCAGCAAAATGCTAAATGACAAAATCTGTTCATCTGTAGGTCCTCAAACTTCTGGCCTCAATGAGCATTAAGTGTCTTTAAAAGTGTGTCAATTTCTTTCTGCATTAGGTTTGACTGCATTTAGATTTCCAGCAGTAAATCTAGTAGCAGCAGGTGGTGAGCTGGTGAGGTGATAGATAACACTGGGAGACTAAAGTTCCTCCTAATTCATTGTTATATAGCTTATAAGAAAATGCTGCTTATTTGTCTAGTAGTAAAAAAAAATGGAAGGGTAATCCCACTGATATCACAACAGTGTATCGTATCACATTAGCAGGTGAGAATCCAAAGAGAAAAAACTTGCACATTGTGTTCAAGGAGGATTTAGAAAGATGGTTTCAGCATATTCTGTTTCAGTACCAACCCCACCCCCTAAAGAAAATCATAACTGACAGACTTCATGAATATACTAAATAACTGTTAACTAATAAATTAAAATGCATAATACAGGAACTAGAATTTCAGAACAACCCCAAGAAGTTGCCTTGTTGAATTCCATCTTAGCCAAATATCACCATGCTTTGC